CCCTAGCACTGGCTGAGCGTAATTTTTTGCAAAAAAAATTGGATAGACTGTAAAATGTAACACCACCAAATCGGGCCCGGTCAAAAAAGAACATACTGGAAAGTTGTACATATTTAAAACAAAATAGTTCCTTCGCATATGTGTAAATATGAAAACTATGTAGAATATATTTTAGTAATTGAGGTATCAAATGAAAGGCGAAGGACTGGTGATCCTTGTAGAACACATATTGACTTATACTTTTGAATAATACAAAAATGTATGAATGAATTCTAAAATTGGGGGCATATATTGCCTGTTTCTCAGATATGTACCTGGTTTGGTGTATCCAAAACTCCAGTAACCAGTACACTCTGATGTATAAATAACGGTATATTGATCCCACCCCTGTAAAATGTTTGGAAGTGAAAAATTTAACATGGATAGGAATGAGGGCCAAGAATAGGTGGTGTGCGTCTTACTAAAAATTTAGTACACAAACTGGCCTTAATAGTGAGAGAATGATGTGGCACAAATAAGAAAAGTTATCTCAAGAATAAATACACCATAACTTTAAAAATACAAAAGAACATACATATCAAGCAAGGGGAAACTTTATACGGCCTGCACACAGCACGAGAGACAAACTCTGTATATATAATAGAAAAACAAAGGATATGGGGTAGTGACACAAATCAGTACATGCACAACAAAATACACACATTAAAGCAAAGGAACGGCGATTCATCACTATAATTTAGTAAAGATCTCTAATAAAACTTGAGTGTACCACATGTTTTGATTTGGTTAGTCAAATAAGAAAATCAACCATTTACCCTATCCAAAATGGTGGCCAAGGGAAATAACTCAAACTACTTCATATAGAAATCTATCTAATGTTGTTTTTTTTTGTCATTGTATGAAAATAAGAAGATGTGGTATGATTGTCAATGAGACAACTCTCCACAAGAGACCAAATGACATAGAAGTTAACAACTATAGGCCACCATACGGCCTTCAACAATGAGAAAAACCCATACAGCATAGTCAGCTATAAAAGGCCCCGAAACAACAAATGTTAAACAATTTAAACGAGAAAACTAACGGCCTGATTTATGCACAAAATAATGAACGAAAAACAATTATGATATACAGCAACAAACGACAACCACTGAATTACAGACTCCTGACTTGGGACAGGCACATACAGAATGTGGACAGGGTAGTTTGTATGTCTATTTTTCAGAGCAGTCATACTGTCATATGTTGTTGATGTGGTCTGTTGTACTGTCCAGTATACATAAAACACTTAAAATCTTTTCGAAATATTAAGGATTTGCTACCACAGGAATAGATTATCTTAGCTGCATTTGGCAAAATCTTTGCTAATTTTGGGTCCTCAATGCTCTTCAACTTTATACTTTATTTTGGTTTTTTTTTATAAATTTTTTGATTTGAGTGTCACGAGTCTTTTGTAGACAAAAACAGCATCTCACATACAAAACATTAATCCTGGTATCTGTGATGAGATTATTTACTATATATACAATGCATCTTCATTGGGAAAAGATAGTGATGATTTTCAAAGCTTGGCAGCTCATCTTATGAAAAACTTATCAAATGTTATGAAGGAAACTGTAAGATGATTTTAGTTAGAAATAAAATAATCAAAATTCATAAAAAATATTAAAGCTATTAATCTATAAACAATATAAAACCTGGCATGTCCCATATGAGAAGCATCATATACTGTTGGTCCACAGCTGTACCGTATAACACGTCTCCCATTCTGTGCGGTAAATACTTCCTAAAAATACAAAGTTAATCCATATGGTGATGATACAACTAATAAAAAGATGTAAATCTCTACTCTTATTCTTCTTTGAAATAAATATATAAATACTGATATCCTTGGGCTTAACACAGGTTTCTGAGATAATCTTCATTAGAAATGCCAGAGACCCAAAATTTGGTAAAACTATTACTTGTTTTGAGCATATTAACCCAACAAGACATAAGCAGCACAGTCAAAAAGGTCTTAGGATAAATAAAAGGGGATACAGGGTATAGGTCTATGAGACAGCAACCCATCAACAAAAATAATCAACAGACATCTATTTCGAACTAATATTATGAAAGAACTTCTATTTCACCACATTGGCACTTCAAACATGAGTTGAAAGCCAAATCAATCATTGAAGAGCATTGGGAACCAATTGAAGGTTCTGACAGGCTCATTTTATGGTAAGTTGAAGAGCATTGAGAACCAATTGAAGGTTCTGATAGGCTCATTTTATGGTAAGTTGAAGAGCATTGAGAACCAATTGAAGGTTCCTTAGGCTCATTTTATGGTAAGTTGAAAAGCATTGAGAACCAATTGAAGGTTCCTTTATTTTATGGTAAGTTGAAGAGCATTGAGAACCAATTGAAGGTTCTGACAGGATCATTTTATGGTAAGTTGAAGAGCATTGAGAACCAATTGAAGGTTCTGACAGGCTCATTTTATGGTAAGTTGAAGAGCATTGAGAACCAATTGAAGGTTCTGACAGGCTCATTTTATGGTAAGTTGAAGAGCATTGGGAACCAATTGAAGGTTCTGACAGGCTCATTTTACGGTAAGTTGAAGAGCATTGAGAACCAATTGAAGGTTCCTTCATTTTATGGTAAGTTGAAGAGCATTGAGAACCAATTGAAGGTTCCTTCATTTTATGATAAGTTGAAGAGCATTGATAACCAATTGAAAGTTCCTTCATTTTATGGTAAGTTATTGCAATAAGGTCCTTTGTCTTTGAATCTCATAGATAGATAATTGGTTATGTAAAGTTCATGTGATCCCCATACCTGTGGTAATCATTGATTATGTAAAGTTCAAGTGATCCCCATACCTGTGGTAATCATTGATTATATAAAGTTCAAGTGATCCTCATACCTGTGGTAATCATTGATTATGTAAAGTTCATGTGATCCTCATACCTGTGGCAAGACAATGGAGCATAAAAACGAGGCCAAAATATGGCGGTAATAACCAGCTAAAAAGGTCAGATAATTTACAACCTCAATCCAATTTGCAAAGAATGTGAAAATTGATAACAGCATCTCAGAAAAGTCATACCATAATCTCATCTTCTGTGACATTGTTCAGATGCAAGACAATAATGGAGGGTAAACTAAAGTTAGGTATAATCAAAGAAACCAGACAATAACGGAGGGTAAACTAGAGTTAGGTGATCACAGAAACCAGACAATAATGGAGGGTAAACTAGAGTAAGGTGATCACAGAAACAAGACAATAACGGAGGGTAAACTAGAATAAGGTGATCACAGAACCCAGACAATAATGGAGGGTAAACTAGAGTTAGGTGATCACAGAATCCAGACAATAACGGAGGGTAAACTAGAGTTAGGTGATCACAAAACCCAGACAATATGGAGGGTAAACTAGAATAAGGTGATCACAGACACTAAACAATAACGGAGGGTAAACTAGTTTGAGTGATCGCAGAATCCAGATAATAACGGAGGGTAAACTAGAGTTAGGTGATCACAGAATCCAGACAATAACGGAGGGTAAACTAGAATAAGGTGATCACAGAACCCAGACAATAATGGAGGGTAAACTAGAGTTAGGTGATCACAGAACCCAGACAATAATGGAGGGTAAACTAGAGTTAGGTGATCACAGAATCCAGACAATAACGAAGGGTAAACAAGAGTTAGGTGATCACAAAACCCAGACAATATGGAGGGTAAACTAGAATAAGGTGATCACAGAACCCAGATAATAATGGAGGGTAAACTAGAGTTAGGTGATCACAGAAACCAGACAATAATGGAGGGTAAACTAGAGTTAGGTGATCACAGAAACAAGACAATAACGGAGGGTAAACTAGAATAAGGTGATCACAGAACCCAGACAATAATGGAGGGTAAACTAGAGTTGGGTGACCACAGAATCCAGATAATAACGGAGGGTAAACTAGAGTTAGGTGATCACAAAACCCAGACAATATGGAGGGTAAACTAGAATAAGGTGATCACAGACACTAAACAATAACGGAGGGTAAACTAGTTTGAGTGATCGCAGAATCCAGATAATAACGGAGGGTAAACTAGAGTTAGGTGATCACAGAATCCAGACAATAATGGAGGGTAAACTAGAGTTAGGAGATCACAAACCCAGACAATATGGAGGGTAAACTAGAATAAGGTGATCACAGAAACAAGACAATAACGGATGGTAAACTAGAGTTGGGTGATCTCAGAATCCAGATAATAACGGAGGGTAAACTAGAGTTAGGTGATCACAGAATCCAGATAATAACGGAGGGTAAACTAGAGTTAGGTGATCACAGAAACAAGACAATAACGGATGGTAAACTAGAGTTGGGTGATCACAGAATCCAGATAATAACAGTGGGTAAACTAGAGTTAGGTGATCACAGAATCCAGATAATAACAGTGGGTAAACTAGAGTTAGGTGATCACAGAATCCAGATAATAACGAAGGGTTAACTAGAATTAGGTGATCACAGAAACAAGACAATAACGGATGGTAAACTAGAGTTGGGTGACCACAGAATCCAGATAATAACGGAGGGTAAACTAGAGTTAGGTGATCACAAAACCCAGACTATATGGAGGGTAAATTAGAATAAGGTGATCACAGACACTAAACAATAACGGAGGGTAAACTAGTTTGAGTGATCAGCATATTTTAATTGACACTGTATTTTTAAATATCATTTGTTATCCCTAAACCTCAAATAGACAATGAGAAATCACATCCTAATTTGGCAAAAAAACAACCAACAAATACCACATTACTGAGAATCTACCATGTCAGACACACCTCTTAAATTTATAAATACAATATCTAATAACATAATCTTGTATCTGATGAATCTTAACTTAATTATTGTTTTCCACAATTTGACACTAGATTTGTCAATGATGGATCAACCCAATATACAAGGATGTGAACATTAAGTTCGGAGGTCAAATGAATATTCATTTAATTGTAACTAGTAGTCATATCAATTCAAAGTTGTAGAAACTAAGGTAAGGAAGATTTTTTATATTATCTTTTTCTTTAATGGATTTCTTTATACATGTATGAGTTAAAATTCTTTTTTCTTTTTTTTTTTATATATTTGCATTTTATTTAGATGTTTAGAAAAAACAACTATTCACACAATTAAAAAAATGAAATGTTTCAAGTTTTGAAAGACAATAAATGTAACTTATAAATCAGTCCTGTTGAGATAGCATTCATGTTTGGATACAATACTTAGTTTTATCTTTTTTCAATTATTAATTTTACAATAAAGTAAATTCAAAATGATTGTGTATTTTAACCCTTTTCCCTTCAAAATAAATAATATAAAATAATATAAAATAATTAAATTAAAAAAAATCAATAGAAATATTTAAAGCTGCATCACCTGAATCAGGCCATAACTTGGACAGCATCACCTGAATCAGGCCATAACTTGAACAGCATCACCTGAATCAGGCCATAACTTGGACAGCATCACCTGAATCAGGCCATAACTTGGACAGCATCACCTGAATCAGGCCATAACTTGAACAGCATCACCTGAATTGGCCAATTAACTTGGACATTTTGTGTAAATGACAATAACACTTTATTAAATTTGTGTCTTAAGCAATTTTCTGGAATAGCCTTAATCAGGAAAACTCAAATCTTAAAAGTCAGGGATAAAACCTAAGTAATTGTAGAGCTGTGTGACACCTAACATAAAAGTCCGGGATAAAACCTAAGTAATTGTAGAGCTGTGTGACACCTAACATAAAAGTCCGGGATAAAACCTAAGTAATTGTAGAGCTGTATGACACCTAACATAAAAGCCAGGGATAAAACTTAAGTAATTGTAGAGCTGTGTGACACCTAACATAAAAGTCAGGGATATATAAAACCTAAGCAATTGTAGAGCTGTGTGACACCTAACATAAAAGTCAGGGATAAAACTTAAGTAATTGTAGAGCTGTGTGACACCTAACATAAAAGTCAGGGATAAAACCTAAGTAATTGTAGAGCTGTGTGACACCTAACATAAAAGCCAGGGATAAACCTAAGTAATTGTAGAGCTGTGTGACACCTAACATAAAAGTCAGGGATATATAAAACCTAAGCAATTGTAGAGCTGTGTGACACCTAACATAAAAGTCAGGGATAAAACTTAAGTAATTGTAGAGCTGTATGACACCTAACATAAAAGCCAGGGATAAAACTTAAGTAATTGTAGAGCTGTGTGACACCTAACATAAAAGTCAGGGATATATAAAACCTAAGCAATTGTAGAGCTGTGTGACACCTAACATAAAAGTCAGGGATAAAACTTAAGTAATTGTAGAGCTGTGTGACACCTAACATAAAAGTCAGGGATAAAACCTAAGTAATTGTAGAGCTGTGTGACACCTAACATAAAAGCCAGGGATAAACCTAAGTAATTGTAGAGCTGTGTGACACCTAACATAAAAGTCAGGGATAAAACCTAAGTAATTGTAGAGCTGTGTGACACCTAACATAAAAGTCAGGGATAAAACCTAAGTAATTGTAGAGCTGTGTGACACCTAACATAAAAGCCAGGGATAAAACCTAAGTAATTGTAGAGCTGTATGACACCTAACATAAAAGTCAGGGATAAAACCTAAGTAATTGTAGAGCTGTGTGACACCTAACATAAAAGTCAGGGATAAAACCTAAGTAATTGTAGAGCTGTGTGACACCTAACATAAAAGTCAGGGATAAAACCTAAGTAATTGTAGAGCTGTGTGACACCTAACATAAAAGCCAGGGATAAAACCTAAGTAATTGTAGAGCTGTATGACACCTAACATAAAAGTCAGGGATATATAAAACCTAAGTAATTGTACAGCTGTGTGACACCTAACATAAAAGTCAAGGATATATAAAACCTAAGTAATTGTAGAGCTGTGTGACACCTTACATAAAAGTCAGGGATAAAACCTAAGTAATTGTAGAGCCGTGTGACATCTAACATAAAAGTCAGGGATATATAAAACCTAAGTAATTGTAGAGCTGTGTGACACCTTACATAAAAGCCAGGGATAAAACCTAAGTAATTGTAGAGCTGTGTGACACCTAACATAAAAGTCAGGGATAAAACCTAAGTAATTGTAGAGCTGTGTGACACCTTACATAAAAGCCAGGGATATATAAAACCTAAGTAATTGTAGAGCTGTGTGACACCTTACATAAAAGCCAGGGATATATAAAACCTAAGTAATTGTAGAGCTGTGTGACACCTAACATAAAAGCCAGGGATAAAACCTAAGTAATTGTAGAGCTGTGTGACACCTTACATAAAAGTCAGGGATAAAACCTAAGTAATTGTAGAGCTGTGTGACACCTAACATAAAAGTCAGGGATAAAACCTAAGTAATTGTAGAGCTGTGTGACACCTAACATAAAAGTCAGGGATAAAACCTAAGTAATTGTAGAGCTGTGTGACACCTAACATAAAAGTCAGGGATAAAACCTAAGTAATTGTAGAGCTGTGTGACACCTAATATAAAAGTCAGGGATAAAACCTAAGTAATTGTAGAGCTGTGTGACACCTAACATAAAAGTCAGGGATATATAAAACCTAAGTAATTGTAGAGCTGTTTGACACCTTACATAAAAGTCAGGGATAAAACCCAAGTAATTGTAGAGCTGTGTGACACCTAACATAAAAGTCAGGGATAAAACCTAAGTAATTGTAGAGCTGCGTGACACCTAACATAAAAGTCAGGGATAAAACCTAAGTAATTGTAGAGCTGTATGACACCTAACATAAAAGTCAGGGATATATAAAACCTAAGTAATTGTAGAGCTGTGTGACACCTTACATAAAAGTCAGGGATAAAACCTAAGTAATTGTAGAGCTGTGTGACACCTAACATAAAAGTGAGGGATAAAACCTAAGTAATTGTAGAGCTGTGTGACACCTAACATAAAAGTCAGGGATAAAACCTAAGTAATTGTAGAGCTGTGTGACACCTAACATAAAAGTCAGGGATAAAACCTAAGTAATTGTAGAGCTGTGTGACACCTAACATAAAAGTCAGGGATAAAACCTAAGTAATTGTAGAGCTGTGTGACACCTTACATAAAAGCCAGGGATATATAAAACCTAAGTAATTGTAGAGCTGTGTGACACCTTACATAAAAGTCAGGGATAAAACCTAAGTAATTGTAGAGCTGTGTGACACCTAACATAAAAGTGAGGGATAAAACCTAAGTAATTGTAGAGCTGTGTGACACCTAACATAAAAGCCAGGGATAAAACCTAAGTAATTGTAGAGCTGTGTGACACCTAACATAAAAGTCAGGGATAAAACCTAAGTAATTGTAGAGCTGTGTGACACCTAACATAAAAGCCAGGGATAAAACCTAAGTAATTGTAGAGCTGTGTGACACCTTACATAAAAGCCAGGGATAAAACCTAAGTAATTGTAGAGCTGTGTGACACCTTACATAAAAGTCAGGGATAAAACCTAAGTAATTGTAGAGCTGTGTGACACCTAACATAAAAGTCAGGGATAAAACCTAAGTAATTGTAGAGCTGTGTGACACCTTACATAAAAGCCAGGGATATATAAAACCTAAGTAATTGTAGAGCTGTGTGACACCTAACATAAAAGTCAGGGATAAAACCTAAGTAATTGTAGAGCTGTGTGACACCTTACATAAAAGCCAGGGATATATAAAACCTAAGTAATTGTAGAGCTGTGTGACACCTAACATAAAAGTCAGGGATAAAACCTAAGTAATTGTACAGCTGTGTGACACCTAACATAAAAGTCAAGGATATATAAAACCTAAGTAATTGTAGAGCTGTGTGACACCTAACATAAAAGTCAGGGATAAAACCTAAGTAATTGTAGAGCTGTGTGACACCTTACATAAAAGCCAGGGATATATAAAACCTAAGTAATTGTAGAGCTGTGTGACACCTTACATAAAAGCCAGGGATATATAAAACCTAAGTAATTGTAGAGCTGTATGACACCTTACATAAAAGCCAGGGATAAAACCTAAGTAATTGTAGAGCTGTGTGACACCTAACATAAAAGCCAGGGATATATAAAACCTAGGTAATTGTAGAGCTGTGTGACACCTAACATAAAAGCCAGGGATATATAAAACCTAAGCAATTGTAGAGCTGTGTGACAAAAAGGGACCTAACAAAATAGTCAAATTCATCTAAGGTCAACTTGCCCGAGGGAGTTGAAACCTTAGTTATTTAATAATTTGTTAATTTATCTATGAAAAATTTAAGAAAAGATGGTTGAAAATCATGTCAGTACAGCACACTGACTACTGAGTCGATGGTACCCTTGGGAACTAACACTCACTGTCCACCAGCAGTAGTATCGACCAAGTGCTAGTTAATGAAAATACATGTACAATGTACCACTTTATTAATTTTGTGCGTCCAAAGTGCTTTTTTTTATTTATCTTTATCAGCAACTCTCAAATTAAAACATTTTGAAAGCTATGGATGTATAAGACCTAAACAGTTGAAAAGTTATATGACCAAAAGGGACATAAAAACATAGCCAAAATCATCTAAGGTAAATTTTTCCTTGGCTTCTATGTTGTGTTTTGTAGACTGTTGTTGGTCGTTTTTTGCTGTTTGCCATGGCATTGTCAGTTTGTTTATGACTTATGAGTTTAAATATCCCTTTTGTATCTTTGTGTAAGTTGACAGTTTTAAGCTAGTTAGGTTATGATGTTAGAAATATTTTTATAATTATTTATTTTTTCAAGTACAGTGGCAAAATTTCTTTGACTTATGTACCACATCTATAAAACAGACATATTATGTCGGGACTCCCTATTGTATAGCATCTACAAGTGACTAACACAGTAGATGTAGAAGTAGAAAAAAGCATGTCTTTATCACAAAGTATAATAAATAAAAGAGAAGGGGGTTATATATCAATGAGACAGCAACAAATTGACACAATAGAGCAATGTCTAATATGTCTCAATTCTAACAATACTGTAAATTCAAAAATTTATTGCTATGTTTTTATTAATGAGGAAAATGGGACAGTATCAGGTTCATATTAATAAAAACTCACATTTATAATTTCAGTAGTGATTTTACTTCACAACATGTTTTCAATTGCATTAATCAAATCTTGCATTTTTACCAGTAATCACTGATTCACAATAATAAATGCACAAATTAATTTCTGAATTTACAGTATCAACTTTCAGAATAAATATTTCAAGAGATCATAAGATAATTTTTTTGTTTGTTTTAAATTCCAGGTCTGCAATCATGTTTAAAGTCCTATATACATACCAAGCCTCCGTAGATACAGACATCAATCTTTCTGTCGGTGATACCATAACAGAGGTCGAAGATGTTGGTAATGGCTGGTCCAGGGGACTAAATATGTCAAGTGGCAAAACTGGAACATTTCCAACTAGTTATATTGCCAGAAATTTGTCATTCAAAGACAAGGTCAAAAGGATGTCAATGGCGAGGAAGACGACTGACGAACTAGAGATAATGTATAAAGTATTATATGCATACCAAGCCTCCATAGATACAGACATCAACCTTTGTGTCGGTGATACAATAACAAAGGTCGAGGATGTTGGTAATGGCTGGTCAATGGGACAAAATGTGTCAAGTGGAAAAACTGGGACATTTCCAACTAGTTATATTGCCAGAAATTTGTCATTCAAAGACAAGGTCAAAAGGATGTCAATGGCGAAGAAGACGACTAACGAACTAGTGATGATGTCGAAAAACAAGCGAGAAAATACAGAAACTTTGGTTCCTCAAATCAAGGCCAAAATTCCTGATCATGTCTTACAAAGAAGACTAACTCGTGTTCCTGAACATTCAAATATCATAGAAACTAAACTTTCTAAAATGGTTCCCAAGCCAGTCAAATCCTTTGGAAACAACCTGGTCAACAGTAGCCGTGGAGAACATAGGATTCTGAAAGCCATCTTTGGGATAATTGGAGGTTTTATTGCCTGTGGAATCCTATTTGTTCTTTTACGATACAGTTATGATTATTCTCTACAAAACTCTTGCTACATAACACTTGGATTATCTCTACCCATATGTGCAGCATTAGCCCTGTCTACACACATGAGATGCATCTTTTTACTAATGGTTCCAAACCTGTTCACTGGAAAAGGACGAGCTGTATTTATGTCCATTATTTTCGCCATGTTACTTGCTGGTCCTGTAGTCAACATTGTATACAATGCAGAGCAAGCATCACAATCAATGGCCTGTACCCAGGAACTGATCTATAACCAGACTTATATCCTCAGAAGACAACTAGAAGAACCAATCAGAAGAATAGAACGGAAAATTTATGAAGGCCTTGTCAAACTGAGGAACATTGCAAATTCTATCAAAAGTGCTATTGCACCAATTACTAATGCAGTTAAAGTTTTTGTCAATGGTCTCAACGCAGCTAAGAATGCACTAGGAAATGCAGCCAAGGTATTAGTTTTATTTACTTTAGTGAACCATTCAGGGCATCATCTTTGCAGCAAAAAAAAAGAAGAAATGAGACAGAATTTGTCTTTGTTTTTTCACAAGAAACCCGTTAGAAAGTGTAACAAGTTATTGTAACATGTAAATTTTCATTTCTAATTATTATCTTTTTAATTCAAACAGCAAGATAATTGAAAAGATTGTGTATGGGCTTCATGGCACTATATACAATTTACAATTACAACTCTATCAGTGTATTTACTGATGAACATCCACAGTAAAATTAGATATTCAAAGAAAAATTGACTGATCTTTGATCTAAATACTACTACATCATGTGCAGTATAAAAGGAGGTTACAATTTGTCAATAAACCTGCAACACAATGATACAAAAACCAAGGGTAAAAAAAAACACATCTAGATATAACAACAAAAAAGTGTATTTATTATATCTCAATCCCCAATTGTCCAAGGCTCTAGATACAAGGGCCCAAGGGAGCATTAACAAGTTATTTAGGTATTTACAGCCATATGGTAGTTTGTGGACAGGTCGCTCATCTCACAAAAGTATATGCACTGAAACCAGAGAATGGTATATAATCTGCCATTTTATGAATACATGTATTAATTTTTGGGGTTGATAAAAAATTGCATTTTCATAGATATCTGATTCTAGGGTTTTGATAAATTCTGCATAAAAAGCTACAGAAAATTTGTATTTCTTTCAGCTCTTGAATTTGAGGTTCACCTATACCCCAAAACAAACCCATGAATTGAATAATGATACCTAGCCTTAATTATATAAAACACAGGCTAATTAAGTATAAATAAATTGTAACCATATTTACTTTAACTGTTATATGCCATTTATCAGAAGATAATTCATTGGTAACATTTTCTGTATTTCATTGTCCCTCCCTTTTTAATGTATTTCCAAGCTTTCTATCTTCCCCCCTATTAAATAATTCTAATTTTCCATCCCTGAAAAATGTATTTCGAAGTTTTCTATTTTTTCCTCCCCATTACAAGTATTCCAAAGCTTTTGATATTTTTCCTTCCTATAAAATGTATTTCGAAGCTTTCTTTTTTCCCTCCCTTTTACCAGTAAAAGTTCTTTTTCTCCTCATTTATTAATTTTCCAAGCTTTGTATTTTTTTCACCTATTCCATGATTTGCTTTTTATCCTCCCTTTTTCATTTATTTATAAACTTTCTGTTATTTCCTCCTTGTTAAATGTTTCCATTTTCTTTTTAATGTATTTTAATGATTTGCATTTTCCCCAGGAATGTAGTGATGGAGTGAAAACTGCCCAGTCTAGATGTGAGAAGGGAATAAACAACGCTAAATATGAGTGTGAAAAAGCACTCAGAAACGTAGACCCTACAGATAAAGTCATCAATTTTGGGAAAGACGTAGTCAAAACTGGGGATTCAGTAGTGAGGAAAATAGACAATACTTTCCGTAGTTTCTTTGGGAAAAAAAGGAAAAGAAGGAGGGCTATGACAGAAAAAGAGAAAAATGCAATAAAATTAGCTAAACAGTTGATGGAACAAGATACACCATTACAAAGATATGGTATTTACCTAAACTCTAAGAATGATGATAGCATAACCAATAACACCAGACTGCATAAACAACGTGCACTGAAAAGGTAGGTTAGAGAATAAACATAAACCACATGCACTGAAATGGTAGGTTAGAGAATAAACATAAACCACATGCACTGAAATGGTAGGTTAGAGAATAAACATAAACCACATGCACTGAAATGGTAGGTTAGAGAATAAACATAAACCACATGCACTGAAATGGTAGGTTAGAGAATAAACATAAACCACATGCACTGAAATGGTAGGTTAGAGAATAAACATAAACCACATGTACTGAAATGGTAGGTTAGAGAATAAACATAAACCACATGTACTGAAATGGTAGGTTAGAGAATAAACATAAACCACATGTACTAAAATGGTAGGTTAGAGAATAAACATAAACAACATGCACAGAAATGGTAGGTTAGAGAATAAACATAAACCACATGTACTGAAATGGTAGGTTAGAGAATAAACAAAAACCACATGCACTGAAAAGGTAGGTTAGAGAATTAACATAAACAACATGCACTGAAATGGTAGGTTAGAGAATTAACATAAACAACATGCACTGAAAAGGTAGGTTAAAGAATAAACATAAACAACATGCACTGAAAAGGTAGGTTAGAGAATAAACATAAACCACATGTACTCAAATGGTAGGTTAGAGAATAAACATAAACAACATGCACTGAAAAGGTAGGTTAGAGAATAAACATAAACCACATGCACTCAAATGGTAGGTTAGAGAATAAACATAAACAACATGCACTGAAAAGGTAGGTTAGAGAATAAACATAAACAACATGCACTGAAAAGGTAGGTTAGAGAATAAACATATACCACATGCACTGAAATGGTAGGTTAGAGAATAAACATAAACCACATGTACTGAAATGGTAGGTTAGAGAATAAACATAAACCACATGTACTGAAATGGTAGGTTAGAGAATAAACATAAACCACATGCACTAAACAGTAGGTTATAGAATAAACATAAACCACATGCACTCAAATGGTAGGTTAGAGAATTAACATAAACCACATGTACTGAACAGTAGGTTATAGAATAAACATAAACCACATGTACTGAAATGGAAGGGTTGGAGAATATACATAAACAACATGCACTGAAAAGGTAGGTTAGAGAATAAACATAAACCACATGCACTGAAATGGTAGGTTAGAGAATAAACATAAACCACATGTACTGAAATGGTAGGTTAGAGAATAAACATAAACCACATGCACTAAACAGTAGGTTATAGAATAAACATAAACCACATGCACTCAAATGGTAGGTTAGAGAATTAACATAAACCACATGTACTGAACAGTAGGTTATAGAATAAACATAAACCACATGTACTGAAATGGAAGGGTTGGAGAATATACATAAACAACATGCACTGAAAAGGTAGGTTAGAGAATAAACACAAACCACATGCACTGAAATGGTAGGTTAGAGAATAAACAAAAACCACATGCACTGAAATGGTAGGTTAGAGAATAAACAAAAACCACATGCACTAGTTTAGAGAAATAAAGAACCTTAGTGAGCGCGCTCACATACCCCACGTCCCCACATTGTCACTGGAGAAATAAAATAACTGTAAGAAAAAAAAAATTATATAAGAAAAAAAAATTGAATCATAATTTCCTGTCGATATGCACATCTACATAGTATGTCCTTATTATCTACAAAGTTTCATGAAATCCTGTTGTGTGGTTTCAGAGGAGTTGCGATGACAAACTGTTGCAGAGGTATATTGAAGCAAATAAGTTCAAAGGGGCGTAACTCCTAGAAAAAAATTGAATCATAATTTCCTGTGGATATGCACATCTACCTAGTATGTCCTTATTATCTGAAAAGGTTTCATGAAATTCTGTTGTGTGGTTTGAGAGGAGTTGCGATGACAAAAGGTTGCAGTAGTATATTGGGCAAATAAGTTCAAAGGGGCTTAACTCCTGGAAAAAAAATTGAATCGTAATTTCCTGTCGATATGCACATCTACGTAGTATGTCCTTATTATCTACAAAGTTTCATGAAATTTTATTGTGTGGTTTCAGAGGAGTTGAGATGACAAACTGTTGCAGTAGTACATTAAAGTAAATAAGTTCAAAGGGGCGTAACTCCTAGAAAAAAAATTGAATCGTAATTTCCTGTCGATATGCACAACTACATAGTATGTCCTTATTATCTAAAAAGGTTTCGTGAAATTCTGTTGTGTGGTTTGAGAGGAGTTGCGATGACAAAAGGTTGCAGTAGTATATTGGGCAAATAAGTTCAAAGGGGCGTAACTCCTGAAAAAAAAATTGAATCATAATTTCCTGTCGATATGCACATCTACGTAGTGTGTCCTTATTATCTGAAAAGGCTTCATGAAATTCTGTTGTGTGGTTTGAGAGGAGTTGCGATGACAAACTGTTGCAGTAGAATATTGGGCAAATAAGTTCAAAGGGGCGTAACTCCTGGAAAAAAAATTGAATCGTAATTTCCTGTCGATATGCACAACTACATAGTATGTCCTTATTATCTAAAAAGGTTTCGTGAAATTCTGTTGTGTGGTATGAAAGGAGTTGCGATGACAAGAAACAGGACTGACGGACTGACGGACGGACAGACAGACGGACGGACGGACAGACGGACAGACGGACGGACGGGTCAAAAACATTATACCCCCCGCAACTCGTTGCGTGGGGTATAATAAACATAGACCACATGTACTGAAAAGGTAGGTTATAGAATAAACATTAACAACATGTACTGAAAAGGTAGGTTATAGAATAAACATTAACAACATGTACTGAAAAGGTAGGTTATAGAATAAACATTAACAACATGTACTGAAAAGGTAGGTTATAGAATAAACATAGACCACATGTAAACATAGACCACATGTACTGAAAAGGTAGGTTATAGAATAAACATTAACAACATGCACTGAAGAGTTTCATTTCAAACAGAATAAACACACATTAGTGTGAAGAAGAAATACACTAGTGCATTTCATACAACATTTATTCTTAACCCTGAATGAAAATATCCTTACAAATACACACCAACAAAAGTTGTCTTGACATGGGGCATACAAGGACCAATTAACTCTGCCATCTTAAACTGTGTTTGTAAACGATTAAGACATTTAATTGTTGCCTATGTTGTATTATATTTACACCCTCTTTGTTTGGTTTAAGTATTGAAGTCTACATTACAAAGCTAAAAACAAAAATGTGTCCAAAAATAATTCTGATTACAGTATTTCAGTTTATTAACGATAAACATTTTGTAGGTCAAAGAGAGGTGTTTTGGATAGGATATGTGTCGTTCTTGACATTGGAGATGTTTGTAAAGTCGTCCAAGTAGCAAATGTACTTGTCTGTAAACCTCTTAAATTTGTATCACATATCATAGAAGTAGCTAATACTGAGATAAATTCCTTCCTAGATGGGGTCATCTCGTTCTTTTCATTCGATTTTGAAGGAGATATCAGTGCAGTTGGGAATATCAATTCCTCAAAAACAGCAGCACAAATCATTTCCGAAGTGAAAGCTGACATACAGTCTAGAACTAAATGGATTCTAACAGTATCTGGTATAGTCAGTAACATTCTCATCATCACTCTCCTATTATTATTTCTCAAGTCAATCTTCTACCTAAAGAAGTTCCTCAGTAAGGATCGCTATGACAATATCTACATTACAAAGGCTTTTAAGATTTATGACCAGCAATGCAAGGCACAGGGAAAACCATCAGTTTTACCGCTGAAGAGAAAAGAATGCAGAAACTATGCGGACACACGGTCACCATGGCTGTCATCAAAAGAAATAGCTCATGCTAAAACAGGTATTACTAAAATTGGAATTCATCTCTTGATAGCTACTGTAATCATTGTCTTTGACTATGTCCTTTACTTTGTCCTGAACCTCATTGATCGCTATGGTAACCTGAATATAAATATTGGTGGCAACAGTTATCTGAATGTATCAGTAGAAGGCAGTGGATTTATTTCAGCATTTTTGAGAGCTTTCCTCAGCACAATCAAATTGGATTCCGACTTTGGTGTAGAGTTTAACCTAACAACTTGTATCCCTAATCCCAGTAAACCAGATGACAATAATATCTACAAGTTTAGTTTTCTCTACTTCTTTGTATTTGTGTTCCTTATAATGCAGGCTTATGGTTTACGTTTACGAAGGAAAATTGTCACATTCTTCTATCCAGAACGAGACATTGAAAGGATAACATTTCTTCATGAGAAAATACGACACCGGAGAAAATCTCTGATGAATTGGCTGACCCAGCATGTCATATCTCGTAACAAGCAATTCCATATGGAAAATCGTATATCTTTCCGTGGATGGATGGAATACCGCTGTCCTACATTTGCTAAATGCTTCTGCCCATGTCTTAAATATAAGACATGCATCAGCTGTGAAAATAAGGATGATGGTAAAATTCGCTTCCATCAATGTGAGAAATGTCAATCTAATTACTGTGAGGAATGTTTTGGAGACATGAATTACAGTTGTCCCATTTGTAATACTGAATCAAACATGTCCAACCCTTATTCTAATATATAGCAACATTCTGTCATGATTGCAGATCCTTCACAAAAGTGAAGTATAGATAATAAATATCATACTTATAAACCTATGTTATCTTTTTTAACAAAAAATATACTTTGAAAAAATAAAAATTTGTAGAGAAATTGTCTCGTCTCTTTTAATAAGAACAAACACACAGTACAATTCACTGAACTACAGACAGTGTAATTAACTTAATTTCAAACATACCAACTCACCCAACAACAGACATTGTAATTGACCCAACTACAGACACTTCAATTCACCTACAAACACACACTGCAATACACTCAATAACAGACTTTGCATTGGCACTCATACCACATCTTATTTCTATTCATTCTACTACAGACATTGCAATACACTCAATAACAGACATTGCAATTCGTCCTACTACAGACATTGCAATACACTCAATAACAGACATTGCTATTCATCCTACTAGACATTGCAATACCATCAATAACAGACATTTCTATTCATCCTACTACAGACATTGCAATACATTCAATAACATGTATCCCGATTAATCTAACAACATATATTACAATAAATTCAACAAGTGTAAAAGGGGCATAATAAGACGGGGAGAGGAAGGGACAAAAACACCATATCAAAGCAAATATTCTTTAGACAGTTTTGAACCTGGATCCTTGAAACCTCACATGCAGGACATTATATAATATTAAAAAAATGGGGTAAGATTGCCAATGAGACAAATATCCCCCAGAGACTAAATGATTTGGATGTAAGCAACTATAGGTCACTGGTCAGCTTTCAACAATGAGCAAAACTCATACAGTATAGTCCGCCTAAAAACCGCCTGACACTGACAAAATGTGGAACATTTGAGTTCATTTAACCAACATAATGGAGGATGTTCTCAGATTCTATCAAGACAATGTGTAGTTATGCTGATAAACAAAGTTTGTAGACGAAGTAATCAATTCATATCTCATTGTTAGTTCAGTTGATTTTCTAGGAATGGATAAATTTTCTAATCTGTATCTCATTTCCTGGGACAGACTTTAAAGGAAAACAGCCATTTCCTACAGACAAAGCTGTTTATATCTATTTCCTTGTCATTTGGTTGTGCCACCGAAAATTTATAATCTCTTTTATTTGTTTTTTTCTTTCTGAAACACAAATAAGAACCTTACATTTTTTAAGAAAAAAGTTATCAAATATCCTTATTGACATAGCTGATATTTGAATGTTATATTGATTGATTCTTGCTGGTTAAATGTAGAGTGACAAATATGTCATGCATGATCATGAAAACACATATACAATAAATATGATTCACTGTTTCAGAAAATAATGCATTGTGGGTAATATTTGCAAAAGAATACACCAAAACCTTGTGATATACTAACAACCCCCTAAACAATGGAAATTCAGCCAATGATGTGATGATATATTCATTTTTGGGTACGAAAAATGTAATCTCCCATAATCCTTTAGATTTTGAAACAGCTAATTGGTAGATTCTGCAAAGTAGGTTGACAAGGATGGATGCAAGTACATTTAGATTGCCACTAGTAAATGAGGATATGTTGTATAGTGGCAACAATTTTTACCTAGGACAGGCCAAATACAGATCACCTCAGGAGTTGATTCTAGGGTTAAATAATGTACTGATAGCATGGCACTCACCCTACATGGGGCACCAGATTTTATGTACCTATTACGACTTTACAAGACTGCATATTTATACATCCTGAATTCCAAATTGTTGACCCACACAAGGGTTTTAGTACCAGACATATAAAATCTATGCATGAATATATTCTATACCCTCGACTGAGTAGTCAATCCTTGGGGTATTGTAAGTGGGCATGATTCCATTGTCATCAAAGGTATTCATAAGAGCTAACTTTCAATAACAAAGAAAAGTTAACAAAAATAAAACAATCGAATATCCTTTGGTGGTCTTGGGCTGTTTCCTGCTCTTTGGTTGGGTTGTTGTCTCCTTGACACATTCCCCATTTCAATTCTCCATGATATTATGTTTTAACTAAAGTGACATTTACATTGACATATTGTATAAAGCTGTCTGAACTATATGCACATTTTTTATGACATGATAATGTGTCTGATGGTGGTAACATTAAGGTATAAGTTAAGAATACAGGTCTTCTTCCCCAGAAACCGTAAATAATTAATCAGTGAACTTTTACCAGCAGTGTTCATTTATTATCAGGTGAGTATTATAAAAGCATACATCATATAATTCAAAACCAGTCTTCTTGTACAGCACAAAACTGTTAAAATGCTTAATTCGTCTCACCAAGACATATATTTCATGGTTGAGTGACATTTACTCAAATGTCGTGTTTATGTCCCTTTCTCATACTCATCTTACTTTGTCCCTTTCGATGAGTGAATTGACGTTTCTGTTGATGACTGCTTTGGGATGTCTGTTATTGAGTTAATTGCAGTGTCTGTAGTTCAGTGATTGACAATTTGATGACAATGAAATCATGCCCAAGGGTTGACTCGGGCATAGAATATGTTCATACCTAGACTTTTCATGTCTGATACTAAAAACTTGTGTGGGTCATCATTTGGAATTGCAGGATGTATATATGTGTAGTAATATAAAGTCGCAATAAGGACATACAATCTGGTGCCACATGTAGGGTGAGTACCATGCTATCAGTACATTAATGAACCCTAGCATCAACTCCTGAGGAGATCTGTGTTTGGCCTGTCCTAGGTAAAAATTGTTGCCACTATACAACATATCCTCATTTACTAGTGGCAAACTAAATGTACTTCCATCCATCCTGGTCAACCTACTTTGCAGAACCTACCAATTAGCGGTTTCATAATGTAAAAGATTATGGGAGATTACATTGTTTAATACCCAAAAATGAAAATAATGTCACGTCATTGGCTGAATTTCCATTGTTCAGGAGGTTGTTAGTATATCAAGTGTTTGTGTATTCTTTTGAAAATATTACCCACAATGCATAACATTATAACAGCTACAGGTAATTATATAAATTGTTAATGTGTTGTCCTGAATATGCATGACATATTTGTCACTGTACATTAAACAAGCAAGAATTTATCAATCAATATAAAATTCAAATATTAGCTATGGCAACGAAGGATATTCAATAACTTTTTTCTTTAAAATTATAGTCTCTTGTTTGTATTTCAGAAAAAAGAAATTCAAGAGTATTAATTTTCTGTGGCACAACCAAATGACAAGGAAATAGATATAAACAGTTTTGTCCGTAGTGAATGACTCTTTTCCTTTCAAGTCTTCCTCAGGAAATGAGATACAGTACCAAACATTTATCTATTTTCTAGAAAAACAACTCAACAAACAATGACATTTGAATCAATTACATACACAAATTTTGTGTATCAGGAAAACTGAATATTTATAATTATCTTACTAGAATCTGAGAACAACAATTAAGTTTGATAAATGTACTAGATGTTTCACATTTTGTCAATTTCAGGCCTTTTAGAGCTGACTATTCAGTATGGGTTTTTAATCTCTTGTGGATAGTTGTCTCATTGGTAATCCTACCCCATTTCCTTATCTTATATAATATTCTGTGAGTTCCAGGTCCAAAACTGTCGAAGTTGATAAAAATATACTATTACCTGACCAACAACAATAGAAAAAAACACTATTTAATTTTATTGATGATTCATCAGCTTTTGAAGAGAATAACTATTTCTAATTAGCATGTGCTCTTTGAATTTCAATGAAGACAAAGCCAGTTATATGTACAATTTCTACCAGAATCAGTTGGAGTTTAATTTTGCTAAGTGTTCTGTCTCATTGAATAAATACAATAGCTATTGTTCTTTGTGGAATTTATTGAATGGGACCTTTACATTTCTCCTGGAAAAAAACAATCATTCATTGATTAATTTGGTTATACAAAATAGTAAACTCCTAGTGATATTGTAAGAGCAAGAGATAGTGATCACACAATTATGCCGAATACAAGACAACTGAAGCACAAATATAAATCTTTTTTGGTCAGTACAGAAAAAAAGACTTGTAAAACATATTTAGCAATTAATTCAATTTCAGACATCCCAAGTCATCCAACAACAGACATTTCCAATTCACTCATCAAGAGTAAGAGGGACAAAATAAGATGAGCATGAGAAAGAGACATAAACACAACATTTGAGCAAATGACACTCAACCATGAAATATATGTCTTGGTGACACAAATAAAGCATTTAACAGTACTGTACTATACAATAAAATTGAGAATGGAAATGGGGAATATGTCAAAGAGACAACAACCCGACCAAAGAGCAGACAACAGCCGAAAGCCACCAGTGGGTCTTCAACGCAGCGAGAAAATCCCGCACCCGGAGGTGGTCCTCAGCTGGCCCCTAAATTAAATTGAGTACTAGTTCAGTGAAAATGGACGTCACACTAAACTCCAAAACATATAAATGAACTAAAATTAAAAACCATACAAGACTAACAAAGGCCAGAGGCTCCTGACTTGGGACAGGCGCAAAAATGCGGCGGAGTTAAACATGTTTTGTGAGATCTCAACCCTCCCCCTATACCTCTAGCTAATGTAGAATAAAGAAACACATAGCAATACGCACAGTAAAACTCATTTTAAAAGAAGTCCGAGTCCGATGTCAGAATAGGTAACAAAAGAAACTAAGCAAAATGACAATGATACATAAATTAACAAAGGACTACTAGCAGTTACTGACATGCCAGCTCCAGTCCTCATTTAAACTGATTGAAAGATTATGTCTTCATCATATGAAAATCAAGTACAATCCCTCCCGTTAGGGGTTTAGTATCATAACCATCATAAAATATATGAGAAGAACATAACCCGTGTCATGCCAACAACTGGTTTTAGAACAAATGTGTTTATTTCCGATGCAAAGACCCTATGAGTGAATCAATATTAATACCAAAATATGCAATCCTTAATGACCTGACAACAGTATCGTAACTATATCCTTTCTGAATAAGTCTGTTTAAAGGTTTGGTTAGCCTTTGAGGTGAATGCCGACATGTTTGTGCTTTGTAAAGAATATTACCATAAAATATTGGATGTGAAATATCTGAACGTATAAGATGTCCTTGTAGCGATGATAAAATTTAGTA